ATACGAACACTTCCAATAATTCACCACCTGCAGCAAACCGCCCGCAAGTCCACTGGTGGCAAGGCTCCCCGTAAGCAGCTCGCTACCAAGGCTGCCCGCAAGACTGCCGTCCCCGTGACTGCTGGTGTCAAGAAGCCCCATCGTTTCAGGCCCCGGTACTGTCGCTCTCCGTGAAATTCGTCGTTACCAGAAATCCACGGAATTGCTCATCCGCAAGCTCCCCTTCCAACGTCTCGTTCGTGAGATTGCTCAAGACTACAAGGTATGTTGCTCGTCGCTGGTCTGAGTCGTCGTTACTGACAAATCATCCTAGACTGATCTCCGCTTCCAATCCTCCGCTGTCCTTGCCCTCCAAGAAGCTGCTGAGGGTAAGTTGTAATCATATAGTATCAAGACATGTAACTGATATCATTGTTAGCCTACCTCGTCTCGCTCTTCGAGGATACCAACTTGGCTGCCATCCACGCCAAGCGTGTCACCATGTACGTGCTCTCCCATTGTTCATCACACTGATACTGACATCATGCACAGTCAACCCAAGGATCTCCAGCTCGCTCGTCGTCTCCGTGGCGAACGTGGCGCCAACTAAGCCTGGTCTCCCTCTATTGAATCTACAGTCTAGGATAGCCCTCGTACAATACGGATGATCATGCTTGTGCAAACTCTATGAACAGTTATTTGTATGCCTCGATATTTACCTATGCACTATGTTCGTACCATATCACTGTTGCCGATTTAAGATGAGAACCATTGAGTTCGTGATCGAACGCTTAAGATGCTATCCTGAATGAGTATCGATCTTTAAGTTCGGACATTTGGTGGAGAAAGCGCTGTATTGAGTCCATGAAACAAGATCCTGCACGTGTTTACAGGTATATCCCTACATAACTATACCAATGGGAGAATTAAAGGATCATTATTCCCTTTCGTTGCCAAGAACTACTAGGCTTCGTTCATTGCGCCGTGGCGGCGCGCATCAACCCATGATTAAACCTCTTAGTACCCTTGTTGTTGGTAACCACCCTGGTAAGGGGGATGAGAAGGAGGACCACTGTAAGTTGCAGAAGTAGTGGACATTCCGCCTTCCCCGCTTGGGGCCTGTGCTCGCTCGACCCACATGGGGAGCGGCGCCATACCTGCGCCACTGGTACCGCTGACAGGACGGGCGGGATCCTGATACATTTGCTGAGGATACTGCTGTGGCGATCCCCATCCGCTTTGTCCAGGGGAAGGTGGAATCTGGTATGAGCCTGGTGGTGGTTGTTGCATGCCGCCATAAGCATTGTATTCGCTCATTGGGGGTGAACCAGTGTGCATGGGTGGAGAGTATGGAGCTTGTTGACCTGGGTTTGGCGAGAAGAGGATGGGTTGGTTGGGGGTGGTTGGGGCCGGGGTCGCCGGTTGGCCCGCTTGCTTGTTCTTCTTTCTGCGGAGGAAGAAGATGATTCCTGCACCCAAGATGATCAAGGCGCCAATTGCTCCTCCAACGGATCCTCCGATAACGGCAGGCGACACCTTGTTGCCAGAGGATGGGTTGCCGTTCGTGCCGAACGCTCCCTTTCCAGTATAACTTTGGTGTTATGAGTAAACGTAGACCAGTGTAAAATGAAATGTACATACGTGATTCCGTTGAATTCGAGCTTTCCACCGCTGCTTCCTTGGGCATTCAAGGCGTTCTTGACAATGATGATGTGCGGTTTCTCTGGGAGATCGCTTCGGGAGTAGACTTGAGAGGAAACGCATTGATTGGTGCTTGTTCCTCCGGCTGTATTCACGGTAGAAGCGCTCTCTCCATCGACCGAAACGCTGATAGATCCTCCTTGGGAAGAAGGAATGACAGACAAGGCGATTGCCGTTCCTATTCTCATGGTTTAGCGACAGCTCGATGATGCATAAAGTTGTCACATACCCTCAAAGACAAACTTGAAGCTGGCATTAGCTTGCGTAGTGACTCTGGTTGCGTTGTTGCAGCTTCCGACTCCAGAAGTGGAAGAGGTATCTTGCCATGCGCTTGCGGGATCATATTCGATACGAGGATCCGATGGAGACACAAATGCGGTGTTGATCGTGTCAGAGTTGGAACCATCTCGAGTTTGCTGAGCCAATTCACTCGAAAGACTGGCTTGGAATACGCCCGAAACGCTAGCGGCACTGAAGGACGCAACTGATTGGAG